GTAAAAGCAGCATCGTGACTATATACTTTACAGTCTATAGGGTTTGCAGAATCTGGCCCAAAGCAGAGAAAGTATCCAGCGTTCTCAAGTCTATTTATTATGTTGAAATGGAGTGGCTGTGTTATTATGACCATTTCACAATAAACAAAATATCAGTTTGATGCATTAGATGAATGTAGACAGCTAGGTGTGATCAAGCATCTACTGAACTTTGCTTTTGAACCGGGTTCAACCTGACTCGCTGTGTTTGTATGATGAGATGTTTTAGATCTCTAATCAACACTTAATTATTGGAAGTATCTGTCTGAATTCAAGTCTGCAACAGCCTGAAAACACAACACAGGCTATAAAAATGTCTGCGAATGTCTGGCGCTTAGGGGGCAGCAGTTGGACGATATTCAACTTTGGTTTTTTGACGAGCAGCTAGTGACAGCTAATAGAAGAAAACAGACTGAAATCAAAGACTTACTTAAAAGTGCAGCAAATTTCAGGGGATAAATCACTGTTATCCACATAAACTGCAAACAGACGGGGAAGCTTCAGAGGATTAGCAACAATCATTTTTTATGACTTTCAACATTGAAACTCTCAATCAGGATAAAACAATTAAAGAGCGGTTTTGTCTTTTGGAGCTTCTTTGCGTAATTCTAAGGGTCTTTTATTTGTCTTATCTTTGTGTGGAAGGCAGATAATGGTCTTCAGAGAGACAGGAGAAAATCTCACAGCCACACAAACACATATTAAGTCAGATTAGATTAGCCTCAGAGATAAAAACGCTTAATGAGAGATGACCGATAAAAAGAATTTATTGTGTATTATATAATATATTGTTTTAATAATATCTGTATAATGTCTGTGCTGCACTTTGACCTCGGCCCCACCTCCAGCCTCACACACACACCCATGCACATGCTCACACATACGAGCACAGTCCCCTTGATATGCTTTTACATGTGCAAATAGCATTCAGGCTAGCCAAGACCTGCAGCAGCCTGTTGCTAGGTTACCTCTTTAGTGATTCTTTCTCATCCCGAGTAACAAACAGCCCCACTGTTGCCTGGTACACACACGTAGCACATGCACACACACACGCAGACATATAGGCAGACACCGGCACACAAACATTGTCCATCTCTGTGTAGACAGAGAAAGCACCTGTCTGCTTTATGGGTTTAATCTCAGCGAGAAGGGAACGAAGGGACACTCGCTTGGCCTTTAAGGTCCACTCCACCTCTCGCTCTCAGCCAAGCTGCCTTCAGAGGCAACAAATAGATAAATGTGTGGGAAATGACTGCACCCAAGAATCATTTTTCTACAGCTATGAGGTTATTTTGAAGATTGTGGTCAAAGGAGCAGAGTTTGGGCAAGCAAAGTGCAGAGATGCATCATTCCCTTGTAGAAATCGGTGTGAACTCATTTCAGAGGAATACAGCCAACAGGGGAGACAGTGAAGGATTTAAGTATAAACTTTATTCTAAAATGATGGCACGCCACAGAACACTGCTATGACTTGGAGGGGGTGTTGGGATACTGGGATCATAAAGCCAAAGAGGAACTTCAGCCATTATCATTGTTGATTTTTTAAGTGTTGTGAGTATTAAGGACGCCACAGAACCGTGCAGCAGAGAATATTTGACGCCGACCTTTTTGTAGTGGTCATCATCAAACGACATGGAGGGCCGTTTCTTATTTATACATTAAGTTTGTTTGTTTGTTTGTTTTTGAATTGTTTTCGTATGTCCTTAATCGAGCACTTAGCATTAATTTGCAGAATGCTAGCATTTTACAGTCTAAATTAAAATGCGGCAACGTCTAATCAGAACTCTAAATTTATTTAATGAAAGCGGAGAGGCGAGCCAGGGCTTTACTTGAAGAATGCAACGCTCCCTAATGCTGATATTATATTAATTTTCATTGTTCAGTTCTTTAATTTCCTTTTGAAACCTTGTGCAAACTTGAAAGAAGCAAACTTGGGACAACTTTCTTTTTATTTAATTTACATAAATTCACCAGCCACCTTATAATGTATGCCTAGCTGGTACTAGGTTGGACCTCGTTTTGACTTCATTGCTTCCTTAATTCTTCATGCCACAGATTCAATAAGGTCCTGGAAACATTCCTCAGAGATTTTGTCCGTATTGACATTATTGCATCACACAGTTGTTGCAGATTTGTCTGCAGCACATCCATGATCCAAATCTCCTGTTCTACCACATCCCAAAGATGCACAATTGGACTGAAATCTGGTGACTGTGGAGTCATTGTCATGTTCAGGAAATCAGTTTGAGATGATCTGAGTGATTCAATATCCTCCTGGAAGCAGCCATTAAAAGGTGGGTACACTGTGGTCATAAATGGGTGGACACCCATATGGAAAAGAAAAAGAAAAATCTTGACTTGCATCAGATGTGGCCTACTTCATATAGTGAATCATATAAGGCTTATATGATTTATTCATGAAAGGGGCCACTTTCTCATTACTTTCATATATTGTTTTAGTAAGTATCCAAAACATACAAGTTTCATTTATATAATTTTTCCAAGGGATCTTATATCTGTTTTCACTCTTGTATGCTTTTCATACAAGTTTCACACAAGACAGATACAAACTTTATAAGATTTATATATCGTTAGCTTCATAGCATAAGTGCCTAAGTCATTTTTTGGTCACATTGAGATTTTTGCCTAACTTTACTCCCCTACCACTGCTGCATCATCCTGTCCGTCTGCCTATGTCATCACAAAAAAATGACTTAGGCACTTATGCTATGAAGCTAACGATATATATCTTTTCCATATGGGCATGGTCAGCAAGAATACTCAGGTGGGCTGTGGTGTTTAAATACTGCTAAGTTGGTACTAAGGGACCGAAGGTGCGCCAAGAAATTAATCAGAAACTGAATTCTTTATTAATCCGGAAGGAAATTATGTGGTCACAGCTGCTCCAAGACAGTAAGAACACAAGTTAAAGTATCAGCTCTTACTTTCTTTCTCTTTCCCCCACTTCACTACACCACCAGCAGCAGTTTGAAACTTTGAACTAAGGCAGGAAGGCTCCATGCTTTCATGGTGTTTATGTCAGATTCTGACTTGACCATTTGAATTTCGGGGGAGAAACCGAGACTCATCGGACCAGACAAAGTTTTTCCAATCTTCTATTCTCCAGTTTTGATGAGCCCATATAAATTGTCTACTGTAGTCTATTTGCGTCATGGCTCAATGTGTTGTGTGGTCAGAGTGCTCTTCTGCATACCTTGTTTGTAACAAGTTTCTTTGACCTCTGGCATCAATGAGACATTTTCACCCAGGGTACTGGATATATTCTCTTTTTTGGACATTCTCTGCAAATCATAGAAATGGTTGTGTGAGAAAATGCCAGTAGACCAGCCCATCTGTTCCTTCGATTTCCTTTTTATTCCTATTCAGTTTGAGCTTTAGTATGTTTTCTTGACTATACAGTATGTACATGCCTAAAAGCCTAACAGCAATATATATCAGATTTTCAACTCACCCTGTGGGCGATCTTAATCCTTCAAACACGGGTCCTTTACCAGAGGCATGAGAGTTTAAGGGTCCTGCACAGCATCTTTGCTGTTCCTAGGACTGTGCTCTACTGGACAGAGATCTCAGATGTCATTTGTGGGATCTGATGGAACCACTCACCCTTGGCACTTCTCAGACTTTACATCTTCCTTTTTTCTGATGTTGCTATGATTCGTTATAGCTACATCTGTCACTATGACCTTCTTCCTCTGCTTGTATCTGGATCCATCTGCATCTAGAAGTCCCACAGGATCTTCATTCTCAGCCTCCCTCGTGGGCTGCCACTTTACATATAGCCACACACAGAGTTTAGATGTTTAGATGTTCACTGTCACAACAGTATTACAAAAAAAACATTTGTTCATGCAAATCTACAAAATTTCCAGATGATAAAACTAACAAGACTGTTTTTGCAGTACTGTGTGCTCACAATAGTCTTATGCACCATTTAATGTAGTGTATCAGTCATAACTGTAAAATGTCAGTCAGTAATGTTACCTTGCTACCAGATCTACGTAGGTGGAAGCTGTTCAGCTTTGTCAGTGTGATCAATCGGCAGCTCTGGTGTGGACTGGAGTCGTTAGAGCATCCCACAGACTGTACTGTGAAAATTGCCATCCTTCACAGTAAAGGGACATAAAGATTTAAGTCCAGAATATTGCTCGTTAGAAGTAATAAATCAAGAACATTGTATATGAACACAAAACACAGATTTATATTAACAATAATTAACTTCCAAAAAAGTTACAAGTTACGGTATAGTATGATTATCAGGTGTTTCATGCGTGTGAAATTAGTTCTAGATACACAAGGCATGAGTTTCATAAAGTCTATTGATAGAATAATAGCTGATAAATAAGGTAGTTTAAAGCACAGCATGGACAAAAACTAGGTTTAGGTTAGTAGAAATGCAACAAACCACAATCCCTGTTTAGTTTGTCATAGCTTTGTATATGTATGTGTGCGTGTGCGTGTGTGGGGACCAAAATCTGACATTTACTATACTGGTGGGGAGTTTCTGCACCGTGGCAACCAAAATCCAGGTCCCCTTGGGGTTGAAAGCAATTTTCACACTCAAAATGTGGTTTTAGTGTCAGGGTTACAATTAGGTTATGGTTATGGTTAGGTTTAGGGTAAGGGTCAGGGTTAGGCATTCACTTTGGATGGTTAGGGTTAGGGGCTAGGGAAAGCATTATGTCAATGGGATGTCCCCACGAGGATAGCAAACCAGACGTGTGTGTGTGTGTGTGTG